AACTAATGTTGACATATTTATCATTGATCAGTTGCACACTCTTTACTTTCTAGCTTTCAAAATCGTCTACGCGACTTTGTAGAGGGGGAGGCTTATTTTCTACCCTGCCGCCTGTTTCCCCACAGTTGCAAAGTTGCAAGCCTATTACTACTCTATCGCTATTTACGTAGCAAATGTTCAGATAAGCTCCACTCTTTTGTTCAAACTCTTATAGCCAGGACACACCATGCTACGTCCATGGAGTTGAATCATCTACATTTCTTCCGTATTCCATTTGTAAGGAGGAAGTTTCAGTCGGAGTTTTCTCAATAACTTCTACATTGTGGAACGTCTTCAAATCAAGTGTCAATCGCTATCTATCCTCTTTAGCCTCATAATCTTCAATCTCTTCTTTTTAAAATCATTTCAACCCTACAAGGCATTAAAACCACTAGGACACGATGGGTTAATGAGTGTGAAAGAATAAGAAAAAGACAAACTTTATTAAGGAACAAGATCGATAAAAGGAGAGGAATCAAAATTCGTGTCACAGATTTCGTTCACTAAACCTCTAGCATGAGTGATTCTTGAGCCTTGTATTTTAGTGAACTTTAGAATATATAATTTTAAAAAAATATTCGAGAATTCACCTTTCTTCATGGATCGAACTCTTTCTTGTTTTGTTGCGCCGTGGTCTTTACTTTTTAGTGCCATGAAAGAATCCAAACTTTTGTCGTGTTGAAGACTTCGGTCGTATTTCCGAACTTCGATTTCGTGCTGGGAAGAATCTTTTATATTGCGTTCTTGCAAACTGACAATTTTCTGACGAGCTTCCTCCCTTTTTGTTTGATTTTTGAAACAATGAAAATAGAAAAATTTCACTCGTTTCACATATATTGCAATCATTTTAGAAGTATAATTAGCGACATCAATTCATTATAAGACGAAAAAATAGTTTAGAATCAACAGGGAAAGGGGTAAAAGCATTATTTAATACGATTGTGAATTTCTCTTTCAATTCAGACCGTCTCAACATTATTATGAATCCTTTAAACTAGCTTAAATAAAGCTAGTTATTTAGTCTTGAATAAATTGTTCAGTAAGAATTAGATACCTCCATTAGTTCGCTGAAAAAAGAGCATACCATTATGCAAAAAGGCGCCATACTTGACAAAACAAAATTTTATTGTCAAAATTTTTATGTTATTAGTAAAAGGAAAGATCAAAGTATTTTTTTTAAATTATTTTATTAAATTTTTTAATCCTTTCTAGCACGCTCGAATTTTTCATTAAAAATCTTGTTTTTCTTGCATCAACGGCTGCGCCAAAGATTATTATGGGAAATTTAGCGTATTTTTTGCGGTAAAAAAAAACAAACACATTCATTTGAAAATTCTTACAAAAATTAAATAATTGTCGGATTTTTTTTTTTTATTTACAAATGAATTAGATTGTTTGTGAAATTTTTTCTTTTAGAAAATCTTTGTAAGAATAGATCTTATTTACAACTGTTACCGCCCCCCCACACACTTAATTTAATGAAATTAGTTTTGTTTTTGTAATACAACAAAGTATTTTGCTTATTGGAAATATTAAATTAATCTATTTGCTTGAAATTAAAACTAAAATAAAGCTTCAAGAAAAATTTTTCATTTGAAAAAAAAAAAACAAACATTTTAAACCTTAGGTATAGCATTTTCTGTGGAGGTACCTGATATTAATTATTCATTCTGTTTTGATAGGTGCGTTGGTACAATATTTGGGTGGTCAACTACTTGTACAGACGTTCTTTGCTTAAAGTAGCAATCAGCTAAGTTAGAAACTGATTAGAGGACAATAGTAAAGCACGTGGTTTGTACTTAGCCAAATTAGGCATAGTACTGGAGGATGTGAAGAAAACAAAAACAATTATTTTGAGTCATAAGTAATTTCCGTTTTGGGGAATCAACTGTAATAACAAATTTATCATCCTCACAACCAATCATACGGGACAGTAAAGAATTAATTTGTTGGACACTAATGTAGCTTAGTCCTAAGACAATCTCTGGGCACTTCGACGTGGTGTAATGGTTAGCAAACTTGTCTCGTTAGATTAATTACAACTGAGTTGTGAGTTCGATCCTCACTGGGTGCACCATACCTTTGACCTTGTGCCACACCTTAGCTGCGTTTAGAAAATCACCACTAATATACCCTAGGTTTTGAACATCAATGGTAGCGTACACAGTGGAATAAAGAAAAATGTTCTCCATGACAACGCAAGGCTACATAGATCAAGGAAAACATTTTGGAACTCGGCTGGTCTGTTCTATCTAACCGCCATCGTGACCCGACCTTGCACCAACCGATTACCTTCATCCGACTGCTGCAAAACCCTCTGAAACTTGCTCTAATGGAAACCAGTTTCAAGTTTGCGTCGTAAACTTTCGCACATCAAAATCTACAGAATTTTACTCAAAATGTATCAAAGCGACGAGTTATGAGTCAGTGCAAATAACGGTGAATATATATAATGGAATAAAATGTAATGGTACTTTTTCTTTTAGGAACAAAGTTGTTAAGCAAAAACGGAAATCTTATATGACTCAGTAAAATAGAATTACGTTGCTCCCTTGGTAAAATTACCGTCCTCTTAATACCAAGAGTTAATATTAATGCATCAGACATTTCGTTGGCAAGAATAAAGTCCATCAATGAAAACAGCAGACGTAGTTTATTGTGGTGGTCACGTGATGCATTAGAGCAAGAAAATCTGCAGCTGTACCCCATAGTCTCTGCACGACACAGAGGAAGGTTTATCTGTCGCTGCTTAAGAAGAGTCGTCACTTTACAATTATATGTGAATATTTACGCATCCTCCTTTTCATAGTGAGGACAGCATGTACATTTATTGTATGGACGAATGTGCAAAAGATTGACTAATGTTACCAGCAGATTGCTGCGGGCATTAGGGAAATCTGTTTTGCTGAAAAATTGTAAAAGAAAGGTTTTTATAAATTACAACCCAGAGTTTTACTGGTTGCTCAGTCAATGAATGCCGATTGTTTCCTAATAAGGAAACTGATAATATTAGTATTACCATAACATCAATTCCCAGATTTTGAAACCTGTAACATTAGTAAACCAGACATTACTTCAAAATGAATCGCATTTATTGTATATGTTATATTCCGTGCTAATAGGAATATATACTTGACAAACACGGTGGATAAATAAGTAAAGGTTTATTGTAATAATCAACACAATAAGAAATAAGGTAAAGTTATGCGCACGGTCGTCGCAAATCAATCCTGTAGTGAATGCTGCTATTGGAAGGTCGGTGGTTCTCGTGTATGTCTGAGTCGTACTCAACAGATCCATTTACTTGCCTCCCCACAAGGAAGGATGTGGCACAAGGCCGAGTTTAATGTGGGGCAATCCGAGCCCGTAGGCTCGGCCAAAAACTCCCCCTACCCCCGCATAAACGGGCTCGGTTTTGTCTACCTCCTCAGACAAGATCCTGTCCTTTAGCATAGACTCATCCGGGTTCGACAACAGCCAAGATCTGAATAACAGATCCCAGCAAGTCTCCCGTAGTCCGTTGCCATACAGATACTTACAGGTAATTACTACCTACAGTGTAGTCACTCATGGATGGGGGGGGGTGACAGATTATTCCATTACATCAGTGTATTAGTATATTGTCTTGTGCATGTCTTTATATTGTCTTGTGTATATATTTATTGTCGTGTGTACGTGAATATTTTTGCATGTATTATACTGTCTTGTATATGTACTTATTATCTTGTGTTGTATATATGAATTTATTACATATCTTTATGTATTCTTTCTTTTCAAGTTTCATCTCTTTTTTTTTCTTTTTTTTTTTTATTAATAATCTTTTTGACTCCAAGCATATCTTGGTTATGATTAATGGAAGTAAAAGCATTTATTTTGATTGTCGGGATTTACACATCCATTCAGAAAAAGCAATTGACAACAAAAAACAATCAAAAGTGTGTATAAAGACTGACACATTCGGCGCAAATTAAAAGAAATCCTGCAAATCCTAATTTGACATTAGAAAAGGCACCTGAATTTGTGCGCCAATTTCTTAACTAATTTATCCAATTAATGTTTGCTTTAATAAATGATTGTCTTCTGCCTCTGACTAAAATTCAGATGACAAATATTCCATTGTATAAGAAGACCAGATTTTGGTAATTTTTAAATTACGTAGCAAAAGCATGAATAATTCCAACTTTTAAATATGAACTTGGTTATCTTTGTTGGGTGAGAAAAGCAGAAAATTATTCAGTTATTGTTTGATAACAACCTGTTATATACCGTACCTATGAAGACTAATGGGTATGTCCCACTCCTCATAAATACGTTGGACACTATTGTTAGTTGGGGTAATATGCTGTCTATGTAGTCGACCACTACCAGTGGTTTACCTACTTCACGCCGTTAGCGAGTATTGCATTTTGTTGATATTATAAAGATTACCATTTCATTCCTAACCTCCGTTTTGGATAATCTTCATTCAATAACCCTTCCTAGGTTACAACACAACCCAAAATATTTGAAGAATACCGACCTTTCATCGTAAGAATGTGTAGCGTCCTGCAACAAGTTGTTAATTTGAGAGCGTTCATTTTCCAATTCCTGAACAAGTCGTCTATAAATTTTGTCATAAGTTTTTCGTTCTTGTCTGACATCATCGATCTGTAATCTTAGCTTGGAGTTGTGCGTCAGTTGTTTGTTAAACTGAGTGGTCATCTAAGAAAAAGTAGAAAAAATGACGACAAAGAAATTGCAATAAAAGACAATATTATCGAATGAAGAAAGACCGATATTTTCATCAGCTTTTCTAAAACTGCTTTGTTTTAATGGCACCCTAAAGGATTACTTGATCTGGTGTACTATTTGTGTCTCTCATATCTCACCCTCTTCCCTCTCCTTACCTCTCCTTCTTTCTCCTCTCTTATATATATATATATATATATATATATATATATATATATATATATATATATATATATATCTTACTTATTATAAAACGCAGATTGTGTGTGTGTGTGTGTGTCTGTAACGTTTATATATTGGATCGGATTTCCTACATTTTTCAACCGATTTCAACAAAACTTCACAGGACTACATAAAATTACCTTTTTTGAGATGGTTCTAACAACGCCAAAAAATGGGGAAAATATAATTGTTTTTTTGCAAAAAATCAATTTGAAAACACGATTAAGAGACATCGTGAAAATGGATTTCCTATATTTTTCAGCCGATAAAACAAAACTTCACTTTTTTTCTTTTTTTTTTTTTTTGGCAGGTAGTGTTTCTTAAATAAAATAATAACCGGAACGGGAAACTACTTTAAATACACATGGTGTCCAATTTTTTTACTGTATTCAATAAGTAAAAATCATAAATTGTAAAAGATTATTATTACAGAAAGGCTACTAAATGAATAAGATTTGTTAGATCATAATTAATAAACCCAAATAAAGTTAATATTTTTTGTATTAGAAATGAGTGGAAAATATATTCAAATCAGAATTCTAATTATGAATCACCACAAGCAAAATATGCAATTTTTTTTTACTGTATTCAATAAGTAAAAGTCATAAATTGTAAAACTAAAAGATTACAGAAAGGCTACCTACATTTTTCAACCGATTTCAACAAAACTTCACTTTTTTTTTTTTGGCATGTAGTGTTTCTTATTGTCTTGCACACTTTTTTCTTTATTTTTACATTCAGAATGCTTTAAAAATTCCATTTACAAGACAATTATTTATAATAAAATTCAATCGGGAGACTCATAACGATTGAAAACAATGTTTTTGTTTGAGTTTGGGTTTGACCAATTCGTAAAAAAAAAAAAAACAAACTAATTAAGACATGCGTGTCCGTCAACCTTAAACAATAATCTTTGTCAATTTTATTTTTCAGTCTTTATGATGGTGGATACTTGATCTATCTCTTACTGTTATATCCCCGGGCAACGCCGGGCTCTACTGCTAGTATATATATATATTACGGCAAAACCCCAAATTACCTCAACATGAGTACAGTCTATTTCGGGCTGGTCTGAACCCAACTGGCTTCATCTCTTAAGTGTTTGTCTAGGAGAAAGGATTTGAATTTATTTTCAATATCAGTTCCCATCCGAGAAACGCCTTGTTTATGATGAGGGCCTTGTGTTGGGATTGGGATTGTGTGAGGTATCTCATTGTTGGGGAATTGATGACTGGAGGGCGTGAGGTATCTCATTACGGGGAAGTACTTGCGTTGGAGTTTACTTATGGCTAGGGCCTTTCGTTGTCTGTAACTAAATTTTAGAGGAGTCTAACCGTGACTGTAAAATAAAAAAATATCTGCATATACCTTGTGGCATTGCAGTTGCTCTTGTGTCATTCATTAACAGACCGATGTTACGGTATGATAAACACTGTGGCCGTGCAGATGCTCGATTATTTAACAGGCACCCATACTCTAATAAGCTGATAAACGCATGATGTCTTGAAGAGTTGCGGTTTTTGATTTTATTAGCAACAAAAAGACAAGCATGGCAGTGCAATCCAATAATTCGCAATATCATATCCTTCGGTCATCTGACAAAAAACAACCATCGCCATTGCAGTGAGAAGTATTTGTTTCTCAGGACACTGTTAACACAACAACGGAGACAATAATCTCGTCATACCATGAGATTCTCCTAATGGAAAACGGAGTCGTAGATACCCAGCCCTAAAAGACATCGAACACATAATGGAGGGTATAAGTTTAGGAATAGACCAGCTATCAAAACCTTTGAAAAAACGTGTATTATGGAGTAGAGGTTTATGGATGTCCGACCGGGATTGACGATGAGATAAGATGAGAGCCTTTTCCCAGGTTGCTATTGACGACCGTGTATGACAACGCAATGGATTTGTTCATTCATTATTTATCATAAAAAGGGGAAGAGTTTTTTTGTTTTTTTTTAATACACTTACTTTTTCTAAGCGGTTTTCCATGGCTCGGATTCGTTTCTCTGATTCTGGCTTTTTGTTGCACCTGAAAACCAAGCCAATCATTTGCTGTTGTTCGTCGTAAGCTCTTTGCATGGCATTAATCTAAAAGGAAAAAAATACTTAAGAAATACGTTGATCCAAAATAATTTTATATTGAAACTATTCAGTAATATTCTTGAAATTCAAAATCTACATTCACGTCTTCTTTTCTGCATGTCTTAAATCTTTGTGTTGCCTTTTCGACAAATGCTTTAAGTTTTCTGACTTTCGGAAAGCGAACTACTTTCATTATTTCATTTTTTTTTGTTTTTATTAATAGTAGCCTCATCTTTTTATCACAATGAATAATCTATCTCTCTCTATATATATCTATCTCATTCTGTTCCTATCTATCTATCTATCTATCTATCTATCTATCTATCTATCTATCTATCTATCTATCTATCTCATTATGTTCATGTCTATCTCTCCAGCTATCTGTATCATTCTGTTCCTATCTATCTATCTCTCTATCTATATGGCTACCATCGCCTAAGCTTTCCACCGACCGGCCAATGATTACCTCACGCTGCATTCCTATTTTCGATCCCCTCTGTGTTCATCGACGGTTGGGAAAGGGCGCGATGCATGTTCACATGGTAACACAATGAAAGAAACGCCACGATGAGAAATAAGAACGCGAACCCTGTATTCCATATCACATGTAAATGTTCTATTCAGGTCTTCGCCTGCTCATCCGGCTGGGTAGCTAGGTGATACTTAGGACGACAACAGCTAACTTAGATATCCTCCCTCCCTTTTTCTCTCTCTCTCTCTCTCTATATATATATATATATATATAGAGAGAGAGAGAGAGATTCGGTTTATATAATATATATATATAATGTCTCATATCGAGAATATTTCACATTGAACATGAAGAAAAATTAATTATTTTTAATAATATGTAAAATCTCCACTTTTACCTGAAGACGGTCGCGAGACCAGAAAAACACGTGTCGTAAAATTATGTAAAACAAAGCATAATATTTTTCTAAATAAATCCACATTACAACCAAAAAAACGTTTGCGGCACCTCTCTTCTCTTCTTTTTAATATAAATACTTTTCTCTCGTTGGAACCACTACAACATATTTCTTTTATATATATATATATATATATATATATATATATATATATATATATATATATGTGTGTGTGTGTGTGTGTGTGTGTGTGTTTATCCGGTACACCTCAGATTAGCATGCTGGTTTCAAGACACTTTACCCGTTGTCTTTCCAAGTACTATTCAACCGTTTGTACTGGGTTATATAGTATCATCAACAGCAGGACATCATATCTAGCCTGACTTATTCGAAACGATGCTTTCATTGTCATTCTTGAGGAAATTTAGAGTGATTTGAACATAAACACTTTCAACCGGAATAAATTCATATTTTAGTCTCCGGTTTTAAGGAAGAGGTAATCTTGTCACTGATAGAAATATATTTTCCTCATTTTAATTAGATTTTAAAAATCAAACAAATTATTCTTTCTGGCTCCAACCATTGGTTGTCTCTTTTTTTTATATTAAAAAATGGTTAGTTTTAGGTGAAATGAAATATTTTTGACTAAATTTTCGTACTGATTTCAAGGAACCCAACCTGCCATGCGTTACATTTTGTCGTGAAGAGACGTTGTGTGTGTAGAGTTGAAATGGAAGGTTTCATTAGATAATGGGGGACTTCCACGGGCAACCGCTGGAAAACATATGTTACCTCCTCTGGTGTTATATAAACAGCTGAGTGGCTAGGGGCCGGAGGTATTTTTGTATTTGTTTCTTGTTGGTACGAGAAAAAGGGAATTCAGAATTACTACTACCATTGTCGATGTGGTTATTTTACAGTGTGAATGAACCAATCAGAAAGAAAAAGAAACTTTATAGGCTAATCGCAAATCAACCAATCAGGAAGAACGTCTTACTTCATCATCCAATCGGGTGATGGCTTCTTTATTTTCTTCGATCTTTTGCTTGGTGTCGTCGTACATTTCGACTAACTGGAAAAAGCGTCGAGAATCCTTCGCGTTCATTTGTTCCTGCTTCTGAGTTTTCATCAAATGAAGGAGGAGTTGGATTTCATCGTTATCTCGCTTCAACACTTCGTACTCAGTTCTACAAAAGATCGATTGACAAGTTAGAATAATATCAATCACTATTACTTACATTATTCGGACTGTTTCGGATTCGTTGTAGTAGAGACTTTGTAATCACAGATGCAACTATAGGAACGCCGTTGAACAATGCTGGTGTCAGACGCCTTCGAATATCATTCGCACTAATAGTACTTGCTCGATAATACTCGCTCGAATAGTAATCCGTATAGTGATCCAAATAGAGAAATAGTATAGTGAATAAATTTTCCATTTTATTTTGGCCTGGCGTATTTTATCCTAATAAATCTGTTTTTAATCTACTTAAGATTGTGTTGCGACAAGAACTCACTAATTCATTCTCTTTCTCGTGTATAGGTCAATTTCAAATTTTCATGCTAATCCAACAATTCGCCAGTCAGTCAAGTAATTTTTGATAATAACTAAGTTTAGCGTTGTTCAAAATGAGAAAGAAAAGCAAGTTACTGAAGGTAATAAAACTAAGTTGTACCAATCTCTCTAGCGATGAAGACCAGTTTTGAAAATGATAATTTAACTGTAGTTGAACACTGCGCTAGTTGAAAAATATAACTTCAGGGACCAATAGAAAGATTGTATAAAATGCAGATTATTAACCCGAATAAATCGTCAATATGGCTATTATCATACCCCCCCCCAAAAAAAACCCAACATTTTCTTGCATGAAAAAGAAGAGAAGGTAATTGCACTTACTCTTGTTTCCGAAGGATGCCTTTCACCTGATCCATGTAGGATCTTCGGTTGTTCTCCAAAACTCTCATTTGTCGCTGGAGTTTAACGAGGTCCGGTTCTTGCATTGTGTCGGACACTTCCTCCTCGGCGTCTACAGTCTGTGATCGCGACATTTTGGATTTCAAACGAGCTTTTACGAGATTTCAATGTCCCGTAGAGTAAATTGATCACACAATCTGGAAACAGATTGAAAAATAATGTAATTTTTATTTTCTTTGTCATTTTTTTCGTCCTCTGTAGGGATCCAAGATATTTAGGACGACAATAAATATTCTATTAACCACAAACAGAATTAAAATGCTAAATAAAATCTGTATAATTTTATAAATCAACAATAAATCGAACACAGATGAATATTTTCAAAACTACATAAAAAGCTTCTGGAGAAATATTATTTCGATTTCAGTTTGTCATTATGTCACGTAAACACTTTTGTAAGTATACATGTGTGTGAAAGTGGTAGAGGAGTTTTGTTCATATTTATATGTGTTCAGAAGGAGAGAATGGATGACGTCAAATGGCGGCTGGTATCTTTGACGTGAATATTTAGCGATTGTATGTAGAAGACTGACATTGTTTCTTTGAAGTTGCCGCGCTATCAAGTGAGTCTTTTGAGGCGAGTGAATCTACCCATTTTTCAAACGGCTAATTTTCTTTTTTCATTTTTTTAGGAATAACTCAGATTATTAATGTTTATATTTTATAGCAAAATGACAATCAATGGAATACAAATAAACAATATAAAAATTCATCTTTATAGTAAAATTACCAACAGAACATTTTATGATCTACAAAGTATATATCTAAAAAACATACCTTTACTCTGAAAGTATAAAATTATGTACTACAACATATCTGTAGTTGAAAGCATAAAATTATGTAAAGAAATTAGATTTCGGCATTAAATAACACATAGAGGTGTTGATATGCCGTTAAACAAAATCAACCAAACGAATACGTCGGCCGAGATCAGACTGGCTCACATGAAGCCGAATGGCTGTTTAATCTAGTCACCAGTGCAAGCATCATGTCTATCTTTTAAAGCTCTCTGGTTGGTTAATAATTGTTTCTGATGTATTCTGCCATTGGTCAATTAATGTGTATAGATATGTACGTGTATATCCGGCAGCCTGAATGAGATATCGAACCAGATGAATGAAGTTTATAAGTAAACAAAAGAACAGTTTCATGCAGATGCCATTTTGGTCATCGCAAAAGTTAAAAATCTTGAGGTCGGGAATACTTTGGGAATATAAGAATAATCCTCTTCCGATATAATCATTTGTACAATTTTTACCAAAAACGCTGATTTTATGGGTATTTTCTCATTTATTAAATCAATAAGAAATAATAAAGTTATTCTAAATCAGTAATATTTTTAAAATATTAATTAATTTAAGGAAAAAGTAATTCATTTACGAAGCTAGTTACATTCCATCATCGTCGATCGAACCCCTAACTACCACCAATCAAGATAAACGGATGTCCCCTCTGGGAGGCACCGTGCCTTGAAAGACTGTTGGGCCTCGCACCTGACCTCAAGTGGAATTCATACCTACGATCCATTTCCCTAATCACTACAATCTTAACCTGGTTAGGGTTAATCGTTATCTTCCACTCCAATCAGCTCAAATTTCGTCCTAACGTAACCCTCTACTCCGAATGACTCCCGGGCCTTGTAAACACGAAAAAAATTAGAAAAAAGAAAAAGAAATCAAGAAAGAAAGGAAAGGAAAACTTTTGCTGAAAAAGGAAAATGGATGTAAAAAATGAGAAATATCAAATAAGGAAAATGCGTGAGATTTTTAGAATCGGATCCCTCGACGTGGGAAGCTATTCTTGTTCCATGTTTACGAAAGAGACAAAAAAGTCAGTTTATTGTCAAGGAGTTTCATTGATAAGGTAGCGTAGAAACAACTTCCGACCCTTCAGCCAATAAGGAGAAACGTTTGTTTATCCAGGCTGTCATTTAGTTGACATGGCTTTCAAGAAATGTTATTTGAGAAATGGTAATTCCGAGTCGCTTATGTTAACTAACCATTTCTTTGTTCAGCCAAGGCTCTTACGGTCATGGTTTCCGACATGAAAACTAATTAATAAAAGACAATTCAATCAATGTTTTAAGGTCTTAAAATCTTTAGGGAGAAATGAAACAAAGAACAATTGGAAAGAACTAGAGAAAATAATATTTTTAAAAATCATTTTCAAATTAAGAACAGGCTGAAACCTTGTATATTTGTCTGTTGCAGGTTTCCATGTGATTTGATTTTTGTTTAAAGGCTCAACTACGTTTTACAGGTTATTTAAAGCCAGAAAACATATTTAGATTGCAAGAATTTGTTTGGAGATAATAACAGATTACTGATGCAGCTTCTACTAATTAACCTATAGCTGTGGAGAAGACGTGTATTCATACCTTTTCTAAGGGCGTCTGCGCGTAAGTGAATATAACGAATCCGACTGGAATTCGAACTCGGCTCTCCGTTTTCCAATTTCGAGGGGTTATCCATTACATTACGAGTACATCCAAACTTACAGCTCGACGGTGCTTAATTACCGATGATCGTACAAGAGCCGATGTTTTCAATGTGATATGGCCGTATAAGCGGATCTGAGAATACGGCATACTTGCTAAGGAGTTTTGGGGGGTTCTTTTGTAAAGCGATGGTTTGTAAACGTGTTTCTTAAACCTTTAACTTGTGAATAGGATCCTCACCGGTTGTTCCCGCTATAGTGGCCTTGTCTTGTAAACATTTGGTAAATATTTATTTGGACACTAGTGGTAGCATGATATATTTTTTTTATTGTTTTCAACCCATGCAAGGCAGTAAAGCCACTAAATCACAAGTGATTACTGGGTGTGGATGTATTAGAAATAGAAACATTACTAATGAGCGAGGACAAAAAGGGTAATCATGATTCAGTAGATAGCGATTGACATTGCATTTAAATTTTTGCAGATTAAAGTTGGCTGGAAACCATGGAGCCGGAAGGGAGTTCCATAAGAGAGGAGTGCGAGAAAAAAACTTTTAGCATAGAATTTAGGGCTCCATCTAACCAGCTCAAGTGTAAATTGATGGGATCTCGACGCCAGTCTAGTACTGTAGTTAAATTCAAAAAGTGTAAGTACCATGGCGGAGAGCTCACCCGAATGATTACTGTGAGACTATTTATAGAAGAGACACAGGGAGGCAACCTTATGGCGGTGAGAAAGTGACTGAAGCCGAGATGCCAGATCAAAACCACTAATATGGCTGATTCTTCTTTGGATTTTATCAAGGAGCTCTACATAAATAGAAGGAGCACCGGACCATATGTAGCAGCAATATTCTAAGCATGTACGAATGGTAGACTTATAGATGTGTAAGATAGATTCTCGAGAGAGAAAATGTCTCGCACGACACGGTGAACCAAATTTCTTAGTAGATGACCTAGCAATGGATTCAATGTAGTCTTTTCACTTCATGTCAGCTGAGAACGTCAGCCCGAGATGGCGCAACCAGTCACTCTTCTGGAGGTTAGCATCAGCCATGATGACTAATGGAGAGAAGTGTTTAATTTTGGAGGCGTTAGAAATAACAAGCCATGTTTTGCCCCGGTTGACAACAGTTTTGGACATCGGCTGCCATTTTGACCTTAGCAAGTTTGTTTTGCAGAACAAATCGCTTCTATAGTCACGTCAGCCCTCACTTCTTACTAGCTATGGCCAATCTGAAAATTTCAAGGTTACTTTCTGTTTACAATTCCAGCAATTTGAAAATCTTTCAATAAGAAATCTTGTGAAAATCAACAAATGAGTTAAATAGCAGGATGGACTGGACTCTTTATCTCGAGTGCTAATCCATCATCATCATCATCATCATCAGTCCAATGACCAGTTGTGGCCGTAGGGTCTCTGCACAGCTGAGCCCTAGGCCAGTTTCCTCTGCATATGAAAAATCTGATAAACATTCATTCATGCGTAGTAGGTCTTCATCAAGTAGACTTGGTAGCGCTCTTCCCTCTCCAGGTTAAACCACAGCTGATGTCCTCCAACTTAAAGGCTCGTGTTAGCCATGGACAGGTGGTTGTACGTTGATTCAATTAGGGGAACCATCAGCCCCGGCCGCTACCTTCGGTTTAAGAAGCCCTCTAATAATCAATACCGTGTCATCACCCGTATTAACCGTGTCCATAGCTATGGATCCCAGTCTACGCAATTGTGTTGGGCGGCCGTTGACCCTACAAGAATGTCCATCTGCTCTTGTTTTGATATATCCTATTTTTAATTCTGTTAGATAGCTAGCTACCTTCCTCACTAGGAAAAAGCTTTCTGAGGTAACCCAGTTTATTCGCGGTAGTAGTACTTCGGTTACAGAGTACCAGTAGAATCTCTGAGAAGGACAACTCAGGATTCGAAACCGTGGAGAAGGCAACGGGAAACCACTCCCCTATCATTCCCAAGAAGTCATGGCGATTCACAGATAATAAAGTAAAGGAATCTGTGGAGAGTCATGATCGCCTATAAAATGAAGTGGTTGTACCGGCAATCATTAGTCGAGAAGGTAATATCGTTACAGAAGTATTTCGTATTTTTATATTACATGTGTGGACTTAAATCGATTTTAAATTTATGTCTAATCAAAACATTTCCGGTTTTTGTTTACAAAAGTCATTCCAGGAGCCTCTTGATTGTCTGTAAAAGCAGTCAAACAAGGGAATTAATCGTCTTTTTTGATTTGCGATCTCGTGAAATCGTTTTTGTTTGTCTTCATTTTTTGTTTTTCTAATCTTCTTTACTTGATCACCTTACTTTCGAGTGGCAAATGAATCTTAACATGCCAACTGTTGCTCTAATATGCGACTATTTCATATCAAACGTAACAACGGAAAGTTTAAACGTTATATAATCATAAGCTAACCTTACTGTAATTCTGCGTTCAATCCCTGGACCAGGTTTTGATTTTGTTTGTTGGCATATCAACCTCAATGGGTTATTTAATGCAGAAATCAAAGTATTTTGAACACAATTTTATAGCTTTGTGGGGGATTAAGTCACATCATAGCAGCAGAAATCAGCCTTGAGTTCACGGAGATAAAAGCATAGCTGACAGGAAATAAAACACACAGAAAT